GGCTTATTTTTTATTTTTCCAGAGTCTTAGCAAAGACTCTTAAGACCCTGGTTTGAGGGGAATTTCTCATATGACGTTTAAATAATAATAAATGACCTTAAATAATAATAATAATAATTTATATATATTATATATTATATTATTATATTATATATTTATATATTCTAATAATAATTTATGTTATGTTATTTGTTTAAATTATGTGATTAATTTATTGTGTTTCATTTACTTATTAAAAATGTACAGACAAGATCCATTTGTACAGAGCATTAGTAAAGTACATTATATATTATGTACATAAGTAGCTGCATTGTTATTATTATCGTTGAAAATTAGGGCAGATAATTCTGTAATAAAAGTTGTAAAGCAAATTTTTTTTGTATTTTTGAATATATATACCTAAAAAATTACTCTTGTTTTGAAAGTTAATCAAGAACAATTTTTTTTTAATTTTTCAATATTTTTTTATCAATTTTGCTTCCTCGTGGAGGAAGCTTTGTAGTCCTTTCGTTTATAAAACTTTTCAAAGTGGCGGAAACAAATTTTTTTCTTTATAGAAACATGTTATATGAGATCCTGATCAATTGTCCGGATGTATGTGTGTGTGGATCCCTTTTTTGTTTTAGAAGATAACTTTAACAGGTTTTAATGGATTTAGATAAAATTTGGTAGGCTCATGTATCATATTAATATCTCAAATCTGACCAAAGGATTTTGAAAAATACCCCAAAAAAAAATTTTATCGTCTTTATTCCAAAAAATTTTTTTTTATCGAAAAATTTTTTAAATAGATAAATTTAAGGTTATATATAATAAAATCGTATTCCTTACGTCAAGACGAATTGATCGATATATATATAAAGTATACATATGAGGTAAATTTAAAGAATTAATGAAAGTTAAAAAATCAAAAATTCACATTTTGGCTATAAAATTTTGTGATTTTTTAAATTGAAGTTTATATATGAAATAATTGTATTCCTTACGTCAAGACGAATCGATCAATATATATAGTATACATTTGAGGTAAATTTAAAGAATTAATGAAAGTTAAAAAATCAAAATCAAAATTTATTTTGGCAATAAAATTTTCCTTTCTCCACGAGGAAGCAAAATGTTCATGTAATGAACATCTGAATTTACAACTTGTTTTAATGGTTTTTTGCTATTTATTATTGTATTGTAAAGTTTCAGTTAGAAACATATAAAATTGTATCTAATATTAAACATTATTCAAATCAACTGTTTTTAATTTAAATATTTTATCATTTCTTAGACTTTTCATAGAATTGAAGTAATTCTCAGAGCTTATATGGGCACCTGCATGATTCTGTATCGCATAGCACAAGTATCGCTTTTAGATTGACTACAAGCATCTGTCATATTGTAATTGTGCCAAAAAAACAATTTTTTTAATTCGTTTTAAACATTGTTGCACACAATGTAGAAAAAATTTTATAAAACTATTGGAGAGTATTTAGTTTAATTTTGTAAGTGTAGGTAACGTCTTCCAAAAGAAATCTTATTTTGGTGCACTTGATTCCAGACAACTAGTAATATGCATATGTAAATTTAAACAAGAACCTTTTTAAAACGGTTTACTGTAGATAATAAAAATAAAACCGATGTTTTAAAAGGTTTTTCGATTTCTTATGTACATTTTTCTCAAAAATTAGCAAAAACGACATGTGTTTATGGGGCAATTTACCCCAATATAACACAGGCACACAAAAAAAAGTTGTCTGTTTCTTAAACTAGACATATATTTCCTATAGTATTTTGGGCCGCTGAAACCGAATCTGAGCTCAAAATTGCTCCATCACCCTCAGTTTTTTTTAAATCGACCAAAACCACCCTTAAACAGACAAATTCACACTTCGGAGATAAAAAATAAATCAACTTATTTTTTAAAAAAACAGAATTTTACATCTACGAAGCTTTGCTCCACTAACTCAAAAACAAAGCCAGCATTGATCCAGCACCCCCTGAATTTTTTTAATTGAAAAAACTACCCCTAATCTGGAGAATCAAATTCAGGAGATAAAACAATAAAATAACTGATTGACAAATTTTATAACCAGAAATTTTTACTCCAGCAATGCAGAAACAAAGGCAGAAATGCTCCCTCACCCACTAAATTTTTTTTAAATCGAAAAACCACCCTTAAATAGTAAAATTCAAATTTAAGAAGTAAAAAAATATTATATTACCGGCTCAGATTCGGTTTCAGCGGCCCAAAATACTATAGGAAATATATGTCTAGTTCAAGAAACAGACAACTTTTTTTTTTGTGTGCCTGTGTAATATAATATAATATAATATAATATAATATAATATAATATAATATAATATAATATAATATAATATAATATAATATAATATAATATAATATAATATAATATAATATAATATAATATAATATAATATAATATAATATAATATAATATAATATAATATAATGTAATATAATAAAATAAAATATAATATAATATAATATAATATAATAAATTATAAAAAATTAATTGCAAACATTAATTTTCAAAACTTTAAAATTATCAATATAGTTGTTATAATTTTAATCGTAAAAAACATTTAATATTTAACAATTGTTATTTCATCCTTCAATGATACTGATCAAAATTAAGATCCATTTTATACAATATTAATAAAATAATAATTTAAAACATAAATTATATATAATATACATAAACTACAATAAGTAAACAACAATAAGTACAACTATAACCGAGCGAGGAATACATCGCTAGTAATTAATTAACATTTAAATACTTAAAATAGCATTATTAACTGCACTTTCTGAAAGATGAGATATCAATTTTTAAGAAAAAAAATTTTAAACCTGCAAAATTTATTTGTTTATACAATTTTCAATGTATAAATTTTTTTATTTCGCTTTTACAAAATTTTTTAAAAATAATTTTTTTTAATGTAATATGGATTATTTTCTTCAGAAAATGATTCTCTACAACTTCATCATGGGGATTTTCAAACTAGCAAGCCGTTTAAAAAATACAGCAATCTGTTTAAAAAAAATCCAAATTTTTCTTCTAAACAAATAGTTGTGTTTTTCAAAAGGCTTACTTGTTTGAAAATCCTCATGGTGAAGTTGTAGAGAATCATTTCCTGAAGAAAATAATCCATATTTCATTAAAGTCGAATCATTCTTAAAAAATTCTGTAGAAGCGATATAAGAAAAAAATTTTATCCTATGCAAATTGTATAACCAAATAAATTTTGCAAGTTTTAAATTTTTTTCTTGAAAATTAATATCTTCTCTTTCAGATAGTGTTACGTATGAATTTCGTAACTTCTTATTAATAAATTATTAATATTATTAATAATTCATTAATACAATACTTAAAAAAGAAAACACATTATGAAACACAGAAAACAAATAACACATTATAAACATTATACGAAATGTCTTTAGAATTTCTTAGAGCCGTTCAAATAATTATATATTAAATATTAAATTTCAATTAATAACCTAAATTTTAAGGAAGACCTATTTAACTTTTATAAGAAAATTGAAACAAAAGGTGATGCCATAAAGACGTATCAAAGATGGACGGTATAGGCGCATATATACATTTATAGCTTTTTTATGCGTTCTGTTTATTAAACTAAATTTTATTAATTTTTTATATTTCAAGTTATTAAACAGATAATTTTTTACTATTGTTTGACAAACCGATATTTTTTCAAGGATTCAGTTTTTTACAAGTGTCTCTTTATTGCTTTAAAATTTTTTTAAATTATTAAAAATGTTAGCTGTTTTGAATTAAAAAAATTGTTATAGTAAAATTAGAGTGCAATATTAATTTATTAAATTACAAAAGATAAATTTTTATTTAATTAAACATTATTATTTGAAATTTTTAAATTTACTACAAAAACAATTTTTGTTACAAACAATAGAAAAAAATTCTACTCATCTTAAAATTTAAATAATAAAATACCATTTAAATATCAAGATTACATTTTACCAATATTTATTAAATTGATCTGTATTTTTATTTTTAACCAAAAATTGAAATTTTGAATTTTTTTGAAACTAATATTATCAATAAGTGTTTATCATAATAAGAAAGCTGAATGGTCATGAAATGAAGAAATTTTTAACTTGTTTAATTAATTCATTATATTTTTCTATTTTATTTATTTTTTTCACTTAAAATAAAAAAAAACAATTATATTTATGAAAAAAAAATATCTATAATTTTTATTTCCTTTAACCCTTTTACATTCAGAAAAAACTACAAATTTAAGAACAGAAAGTTGCAGTTTTAGTGTCGCTGATTACGAATCTAAGATCAGTTTTTCAAAATTCAAAATGGCGGATCCAATATGTCGATGGAGAAATTTAAAAAATGTTTAAATGCAATTTATGTCATTTAAATTTTATATATATGTCAAATGAAATTTATGTCATTTGACATTTTATTAACCTAATTATATCTCATAAGGTAGAAATTATATTGACCATCGGTTAACTTTTATGTGCGAAACTAATTATTATTTTCGTACATGGTTTCTGAAAATAGTTGGTCGTATCTCGCTGCTGGAGTATGGGGTATTATTTATTCTAATTTATTAAAAATGACGCACATATAGGAAATAACATCTATATTCTTGTTGATTTATTTAAAAAAATATTTCATTGATTTATTATTTTCGTCACCGATTAACGTCATAGTTTATAAATTTCTGTTAATTTTGAAACACCTATATACAAACAATAAGTTACTTGCGTCTAATATTTTTTATAAAAAGACATTTTTTTATTCTAATTTATTATTAAGAACACAAATAGACGCAATAGCAACTATATTATTGTTGAGGTATTCGAAAAAAGTTCTATTGATTTAATATTATCGTCATCGATGATAAAAATTCTGTCGATTTTTACACCTATGGAAACTGTAAAAGATATATAAAAAGTAAAAGTTAACTAATTTTTTATCAAAGTTGTCAAACGAGTAGTCACTCGTAAAATAGTAAATCATGATTTCGTTAATATTAATAAAATTGCTTCTAATATTTGTGTCGAGTACAATTTCACAGCCAACACTGCAATGGAATTCGACAGTAAGTTTTTAAAATATTAATTAAAAGATAAATGTGCCTCATCACCACATGCATTTTTCATTTAACTATAAATTCATGTTTTAGCTAACTGCACGAGTTATCGAGCCTTTAGTTCGAGATAATTCAGGATCACTGACCAATCAAAGAACTAAATATCAAACCTTCAATGATAATACTAATTTTGGTATAATAATTAAACAAGGTACAACATTTAGCTTAACGGTAGAGACACCTTCCAAAATAGAAGATTTAAAGTTTTTCTGTTTTCCTTATCCACAACATGAAAAAAAATTAATCAAATTAAATCTTACCGGAAAAACAAATTGCACAAAAACATTAACAACAAATTATAATTGTGTACCTATGGTATCCGCATCAAAAAATGTTCCATTACGGATGATAATTGAAACCAAAAACTGGTTTCCATTGTTAACTAACAATTCTAATGATGTGTCACTTCCAAAATCACAAGGAAAAGGAATTTCACACAAAATAGAAAATAATTTAAAATATGAATTTGATGCCTTGGGTTTGAATGATGAAGTATTTTTAAAAATATTTATAAATTACAAGAACATGACAATAGAATTACAACAATTGCAAAAAGGAGTTCATGCATACACGGAGAAAAAAGATATTGTTGCGATAACAATTTTTGGATTGTTGTTGACAGATTTGTTGTTGCTACAATTCGGAATGTTGAAATGACAATTCGGATTGTTGTCAATACAAATGTGTCTTGTTTTAACGATTATACGAATTTGCTACGTTTAACTTGTTCAGTCTGCAAATCCGTACTGTTATAGTAACAAACTTCTGGTAGCGCATCATGCGATTGCTGATGGAACAATTCGGATTTGTTGAGCTGACAGGTTTACTGCTCAATGTCACGTGTTCATCTTTACTTGCGCGTCGGTCTCGCGATTAGGGCACTTGTGCCTCTCTATTTATTTATTTATTTTAACTTAAGTTTTTATTATATAGTGAAGTGAAAATGCTCCCAGGAGAGGAGGCAAAAGTGCGGGAATTGTTGTTAAAATGGGGACTTGATGAGAAGACTGTGTCTGATTTTATTGGTACGTGTCTAAATAGTGTTAAATATAACCAAGTATAGACTTCATTGTGATACTCGGCTGTAATTCTTAATTTTTAATATTTAATGTACTAAAATAATGTTTTATAATTGTAAAGAAAAAAGTTTTAATAAATTTTGTACTTAATTATCAATTAATTTTATTATTTCTAAAAAAATATTAATTAAGGTGAGAAAAATTTTTTTGATCAACGCTTTGTTAGTACAACAAATTATTTTGTCAAACTAACAATCCAGGTATATTGCTGAAAACAATTCTGCTTGTTCACCGAACAAATCGGAATAGTTTTTATAACAATCTCGCTTTAACAAATTTTTTTTGTCTCCACAACAAATAGATTTGCTAGTTCTATATTAGCAAACTGGAATTGTTGTGCGGACTTAATTTTTAGTTGTCACAACAATCCTTTTTTCTCCGTGTACTTTAAACAAGAATTATATTTTTCGATCAGTTTAGAACGAAATGGTTTATCAATTTTTGAGTATAAATTTTTAGGTTGTCCCCCATGTGGTACAAAGCTTGTTAATGCGGTGGAAAAAATTGAGATAAATGATGTAATTCGTTTTTATCATGCCGAACCAGGTCGTTTAAAATCATTTTTCGTAGGATTAAATAAGAAAGAAAAAAATAATACTTTTATTTTGGCAAATACTGGTTTGAAGACTTTTAAATAAAGGGTATTTGAAGCTTATAGGGTATTTTTAAAAATATTTATGTAGTGTAGCACATAGCCATAATTTTGTTTTAACACAGTAGGTTTTTGCACCATGTCACATTAATGATATGAGTCTTAAAATAATTTTTTTGGGAGTAATAAAATTGTTAAATTTAATTTAGAATGGAACTTAATTTTAAGTTACAATGCATTATATTAATGTTATTTTGCAAATTATATTCGTACATTGCGGTTATAATGACTTGGAAGCGTACATTCCAATGGAATTTAGTTGAAAACTAGATTAATCAGGTTTAATATAAATTACATACATAAACTATGATATATACTGTAATAGAGTGTTTCTTAAACAATATTATTAGTGTAATTTATGTTTTATGTGTATATGTGAAATCTATAATTTGCAATAAATATATAAAATTTAAAACTGTTTGCCAGAGTATTATTTTTCATATGCCCTTATAATGATATGTCTTTTTGTGGCAAAGGATCCGCTCGCCGAATCACGTCGGAGTTACATGTTAACGAATTTTTATTTCAACAGATTAAATTGAATCATTTTAATTGAGTATAAGTACGTATTTTTACTAAATTCTATATCAATCTTTCTGAATAAAATAAATTTTAACAGAATTTTTTTATTTTCTGACGTTAATCGATGATGAAAACATTAAATCAATAGAATATTGTTTATCTATAAGTCAACAAGAATATAGATGTTACTTCATATATGTAATTTGCTTCAAAGGGGAAATATTTCTTAGAAGCGACATTTATTGATTCAGATGAAGAAATTTATTCTTTTTTAATTATAATTTCTCCTATTTTTTCACCAATGTGAAAATAATAATTACTATTATCAATTACTTTACTGTTCTATATTGTATATTCAATATAAACTGTCAATATAAATTCTTATTAGTTTTGAATTAATATAATTCGTCGATTGAGGGCAGAAACACTCAAATTCAGGCGAATGTTGAGAAACATGACAATCTAAAAAATATTAGGGAAACCTGCCATTCCTATGAAGATTTCAAAAACATGCCATCTCAGATGTCAAATTTTTGTTGATTGTTTTAGGTTGGTAACACTGTTAACGAAAAATTGATGAGTCAAAAAAATTAATATTTTGTTGAATATTGATGGCTAAGTCGGTAGAACCTTTAATAATTTTATTATTAATAATTATACTTTTCTTAATTTTTAATATTGATTTCAAGAATAAAATTTTGTTAACTATAATATGTTTTACAACTCGTGTGAATTTCATTGAGGTTTAATTAATTCAAAATAAAATAAAACATAAAATATCCGTCCATTAATAATATATTTTAAATCGCATAAATTAGAAAATGTGTTACTCTTTACATGGCTTTTATCGAACAAATTTTCTCGACAATGTCACGCATTATCATCGTCCCTTCGGAATCCGAAGATTCCCGAAACATATCTTCGTACACGTCACGCGATCAACAACTACATTTACGAAGATCACACAATATAAATACATTCCCGATATTTTACAATGGCATGTTTTTGAAATCTTCACTGGAATGGCAGGTTTCCTTAATATTTTTTAGATTGTCATGTTTCTCAACATTCGCCTGAATTGGCGTGTTTCTGCCCTCAATCGATGAATTATATGTGACGTATTTTAAAGAAAAGGATCCAAGAGGCAAAACAAAACAATAATAAACATAACACAGCCCCACAAAAAAAAAGTGTCGTGCGCGGCAGACCAGACTAGTCATTTCCCATGTATTTTGACGCGCTGAACAGGAATCCGAAGTCCGTTTTGCTCCATCACGTCAGGATTGCTTTCTAACCTCCAAAAACCTGTCAGATTTTGAGAGGTAGGCAATTTTTTTTAAAAATTGATAGATTTACTTCAAAATTGGTATCTTGGGGTTTTTTGGGTCGCTGATGACGAATTTGAAGTTAGATTTTCAAAATTCAAAATGGCGGCTCCAATATGGCGGACGAATTTTGTAAAAATTGATGGATTTACTTCAAACTTGGTATCTAGGGGTTTTTTGGGTCGCTGATTACGAATCTAAAGTTAGATTTTCAAAATTTAAAATGGCGGCTCCAATATGGGGGACGATATTGACCCTTCGAAGGTGATAATTCCGCCCTTACACACGAAAGTAGGAGCAATTAAACAGTTTGTCAAAGCCTTATATAAGAAAGGAAACTGTTTCAAATACCTGGAACAAAAGTTTCCAGAAATCTCTGATGCGAAACTAAAAGAAGGGGTTTTCGACGGACCACGTATTCGCAAATTGTTAAAAGATGAGCAATTTACCACCAAGATGAATAAAAAGGAGAAAGCCGCATGGCTAAGTTTCAAAGCAGTTGTCGGAAATTTTCTGGGTAATCACAAGAGTGAAAATTGGGAGCAAATAGTTAGTGATATGATTAAAAACTTTGGTAAGTTAGGATGCTTAATGAGCATAAAGTTGCATTACTTAGACTCGTATCGGGATCAATTCCCTGAAAATTTGGTAGATTACAGTGAAGAACAAGGAGAACGATTCCATCAAGATCTGAAAGAATTTGAGCGTCGTTATCAAGGAAGATGGGATGTAAATATGATGGCCGACTACTGTTGGATGCTGAAAAGGGATATTGTACCTGGAGGCACCAATTTAAAAAGAAAACCATTACACAGATCCTTTGAAGACAAAAGAGTGCGCTACCATAAAAAGACGTGAATACCTTACTTATGTATATAAGAATTTCCATTTCTAGTTTTGAAAATCTAACTTCAGATTCGTCATCAGCGACCCAAAAAACCCCTAGATACCAATTTTGAAGTAAATCCATCAATTTTTAAAAAAAATTTCCTACCTCTCAAAATTCGACAGGTTTTTGGAGGTTAGAAAAAAATCCTGACGTGATAGAGCAAAACAGACTTCGGATTCGTGTTCAGCGCGTCAAAATACATGAGAAATGACTAGTATGGTCTGCCGCGCACGACACTTTTTTTTGTGGGGCTGTGTAATTTAAAAACAATTACTTCTTAGCTCTTTTTCTGCATAGAGCATCACATATGTTTGAAATTAGTCTTGTTGTTTATTTCATTTTCTTATTATTAAATTCATTTCAATATGTATTAAAATTTTAATATAAACTTCAATAAAAACAAAAAAAGTAATTAATGCTTTATAAATAAGAAGAATCACCACTTATTCTAAATTTAAAAAAGTCAAATTTTATTTAGATTAGTTTTTTGGCGATTCATTCTTATAAGTGAATCTTTAGCTATTTTTCTGAATCGGTTATAACCTAAATTATTGAGAGAAATTGTGTTTTAAATCAAACTTATATTATATAAAAAATTCAGACAGCACATTATTTTTCAGCAAATAGCGAAATATTGTTTATTGGCAAGTTTGCAATGAAAACTTGATGAAAATTTTCTTTGCAAACTTGTAAAATGGAAAAAACTATAAATAAAATAAATATCAATAGGAACAATATATATATATATATAGGAATATATATAATTAATATTTAATTTAATTCAAGTTTTTTCCGTTTTATAAGTTTCCATTGCAAACTTGCCGAATATGATGTGCTATTCGTGAAAGAGTTAAAAACTATTTTACTAAACAGTTATATTTTGATAACTTACGTGAATGTGAAGATTAAAAGCTTTTGATATCTCTGATCGCGATGGTTTCCAGAATTCATTTCTCTTATTGTGAGTTGAACCTAAAAAAAGTACACGATTTCCAAACTTCGACTAGTTGTCACTAAATAAGCTACCAAAATAGTAGCCATACTAGACAATCAATTTGAAGTCTTCTTGCATAGAAGAATTTCAAAAACCTTTCAGGATGATCCTGAGAATACGTATTCGAGGACTTGGTAGAATCAGCAAAATAAAAAATTATTCACTTATACTATTTTGGAGAAACCTATAATATTTTTAAGTTTAAAATTTTTAATTAATCTAAAAGTAAAAAATGTAAAATATGTATTGAGAAGGCGTGAATGAAATCAATAAAAAATATATTAACATTTGTTTTTCTTATTACTTATTGCCTGATTTTTATAGAAAAAAGCATTGTTATCGTAGGAGAAATAAAACAGAGGTAAGTATGGTTACATTCCATTTGTTTTATTATTGCACCAAATGTTTGTTTTTGTTTCACATGGTATATAATAAATAAAAGAACTTTATAAAAAAACTATAAATGCTTTATAATAAACAAATAATTTTTTATGATATTGCAACTATTTCATGTCAATATACTAATAATACTATAAAAGGTAAGTATTTTATAAAAAATTCATAAAAAAAGGTAAGTGAGTATTGAGTGCGTGTCTGTGTAAGTATGTGTGTATATGTGTAGGAGTGAGTGTTGTGTGTGTGAGAGAAATTTTTTTTATTTATTTGAAACATCATAGTTCATTTTTTAAAAATATTTTCATCTTCTGATGAATTTGAGTTGTGTGTTTTATTCTCCTTGAAGTCATGCTCATCAACATTGGAAATGAAATCTAATAAATCCTAGAGTAGTTCTCCTGTTGGTAGGCCCTCTAATTCGGAAGATGGAGAAGATCCTATCATTAAATCAATCTTCCGATTTATAGGAACTTGTGGTGTAATAACAGATGATAATTATGGCTTCAAGGAGGATATGCGTGGTGGTGGCTGTGGGTGTGTAGGTAAATGTGTTTCTTTTGTGATTGGTAGTGGAGAAAACTTTTTTTATTGCAGATGTGAATGATTGTGTTGATGGTTTGTTTGTTGTGGATGTGTATGAATGTGATGATGGTTTGTTTGTTGTGGATGTGTATGACGGTGGATGTGTTTAAATGTGTTAATGGTTTGTTTGTTCTAGATGCATGTTTCACTTTTTTTTCAGGTAAGTTTACAGATGCCTCGGATTTTCTTTTTACATGTGCCTGCTGGGACGTCATGGATGCGAGGGAGCTTATAGGAACAGACGACTGCTTAATTGCTGCTCTATACGAAGGAATTGGTGGCTATTTGAAAGCAGATACACGTGGCTGCTGTGGAGACTTTACAACAACCACATCTTCTGATGACGAAGATGTTGTTGATGAAGGTGAAGATTCTTCATGAGAAGGTGGTGGTGGTGGAGAATTGGATGTCATCATACTCTAAAATAAAAAAAATAGTTATTAATAATACACTAAACATGAACAATAGAGAATTCAATCACACACACACAACACTCACTACCATACACACACTCTGGACACCAAGAAAGGTAAGGTACAAAAAATTTACTTGTAAATATTAAAAGTACAATTTGTTATGTTGTATGTGATTGATTGATGAGTCTCCTAAGAGTTCCTAATTTCTCAAGAGAAATTAGAGTTTTTATTAAAGTTGTTAAAATTTATCAATCTTCCAAGTCAATTGTAATATTTGAAAAAAGGAAAATAAAAAATAAAAAACGATTCCTTTTCTTAACGTTTCGACAGCACAGCTGTCCTCATCAGAAACTAAAAGAATTGTTTCTTTATTAAAAAAATAATAAAATAACAATAATTTACAATTACTATAGTTAATTAATTTAAAAATTTTAAATATTACCGAAAAAAAGTCTGTGACTTCTATTCAGTGTTCACTGACAAACTAATCACAAACAATTTTTCATACAATACGGATTTGACAAACGAAAAGGTAGTGTACATTCTTAGGTCATTGAACTCGTCGTAGTTGCATACAGATTATGACGTTTCAAGTATAATTGTATTGATAGAAACTCATCTATGAAAAGTAAATTAAACTCTATTATTTGAATTTATAATTAGAAAAGAAGTTTATATAGTTTTTGTTCAAATTTTTAATACAATCCTTTTTGTTAAGAGGCATCTTTTGTAGACCTATATGTATCATTTTAGAGATGAGTCTTTTTCGCCAATTTTGTTCATTGTCGAGAATTAAACAACCATCCCAATCAAAATCGTGCTTAAGATCTTGTTTATGTGTCGCAATAACAGTTGTTTTTGATTTTTAATGTTTATTAATTCTCATACCAAGCATTCTCTTTGATTCACTCACATAGCTCGCAGAGCAATCCTTACATTTAATTTTATAAACACAGTTTGTTTTTTGGTTTTTATTTGTAATGTCTTTGCCTTTCTTTACATAATTCTTATTTGATTCATTTTTGAAATTATTAAAGTGTTGAATTCGTATAGTAAATTTGATGTTTTGTAAAAAATCTCTTCTGAATATGGTAAAACAATCTTTTTAACTTTATAATAATATGTTTCTTTATTAGGAAGTCGTTGATTTTGATTTATAATATGAACACGTTTTTTTATATGTTTTTCAATAAAAGTCGAAAGATAACCATTATGCAACAATAATTCTGTAACAATATCAATATTTTTCTGATGAAATTTAACATTTGACAACTTAATAGCTCTGTCTATCAAATTATAAACAATAGCAATTTTTTGAGAAATCGGGTGTTGAGAATGAAAATTTAAAAATTTGAACCATAACTATATAAACTTCTAATAAAATTTTGATTCTCTCACTCGGTAGTATTTAATAATATAAGAAGATGATATCGATCTTTCCGAGTCAAGGATTAAATAAAAACATTATTCTTTACGTTTCAATGGCACAGCCATCCTCTTCAGAAACTAAAAGTTTATTACAAAATGTAAAAAAAAAAATTTTTTTATAAAATTTCAACACATTTGTAGAAAAAAAATATTTCTTATAGAAAAAATAAAATTAAATGACTAAATTTACCTTAAAAAAATGAAAACATTATTCAAAAAAACTCTTTTTGAATAAGTAAATTTAAAAGTGATTAAACGTCTCAATTGACACGATTGCTAATAGACACTGATCAATTACAAAGTTGTATGAAGAAGCGTAGAGTGAAATTAGGTTCATTGACCTTATTTCAATAATTTAAATAGAGAAACGTCAAGGTCAAGGTCAGCCAAATTTGTTCTTGCCTATTACCTGAGTAGTACACCTGCCGTTTTGAAAATTAAGAAAAAATTTGTGGCTATTGACATTCTCGGGCCGTGAATTTTCATATCTTGTCATTGACCATTGATAAAATCTTGTGAACCATGGGAATTTTTTTTTAATTTTACGGATTTTTTACCAATGCTAAAATCTTGGAAACGATGGAAATTAATTTTTTTAATTAATGGATTTTTGACCATTAATAAAATCTTCGAAACAATGGGAAATTAATTTTTTGGATTAAACTGATTTTGAACCATTGCTAAAATCTTGCGAATCATGGGAAGTTTTTTTTTTAATTTTAAACTTTTTGGATAATTGCCTTAATCTTGCAAACTATGGGGAATTTTTATTTGAATTTACAGTTTTAGTACCATTGCAAAAATCTAACAAACCTTGGGAAAATTATTGCCAAAATCTTGCAATTATATTTTAAATTTCACGATTTTCTTTCCATTGTCAAAATCTTTCAAAGATATTAAAAAAATAATTTTTAAATTATTTATATTTAATAATAATCGTGAATATCTTTCGTTCATTCTGTCCACACCTGAAGTTAGTATTTGTTATAGGTCTTTTGTTTTTTTTAAATGTGTTGTTTGACATTATTTTGTGTTGGTTAAAATTTTTCAATGTTTTTTTGACATTGTCATTTCTGCGGTCGTATTTTCGTGATTTTAATTATTAAAAATTATAAAATTATTAGATTCGTGCAAATAATAAAATAATAAATTAAATATTAAATACGTAATGAAAAATAAAATTAAAAATAAAAGAAAAAATTATAAAAATTTTTTTTAAATCATTCTTTGTAATAAAAATACAAACAAATAATAATTATTTAATAATATTATTTAGAATTTATCACTCAGCAGCATTAAATAATTAACATGATACTATATAGATCACTCCGAGTCAGAATTAAAATAAATAAAAAAAAACTATTCTTTACGTTTAAACGACACAGTCGTCCTTTTCAGAAAATGAAATTTTTATTATAAATATAAGATACAAAATTAAAAAATTTTATTTAATAAACAATTATTAAATAAATTTTACCTAAAGATAGTTAACATATTTTTTTTAGAAAATGTAAACTAAGTAATTAAAAAAAATTGAGAAATGATAAAATGTTTAAAGAACGTCATTAAATTGACGTCTAATAATTATTTAAATTTTAAATTCTACGAAATTAAAAAAAAACTGTAAAATAAAAATTTATTTAATTAACAATTTTCTATGATAGAAATTCAATTAATTAGATTTTTTTAAAATAATAATTCAAAAAATTAGAAATTCGTCTGAAGAAAGTCTTCAAATAATCAAATAATTATTATTTGAATTGATTAAATGGTATTTATTTTAAATACAGAAATTATTTGGTTCAAATAAAATGTAGGGGAATAGTGTCAGGGTTGGACACAGTTTTGGTTTTTTGTTTATAAATATTTTGTTTAGATAAATTTAGTCAATTGTGGTATATGGGTGGAAAGATCTACAAAAGAGGAACACTTTTGCTGTGGACCGTAAATTGATTAGTCCAAAATTAAAAAAGTTATAAACATTTAAAAAAAAAAAAATCTAGTCAGGGTTGGACTTTTCAGTCAGGGTTGGACACTTTTTGAAAATCGAAACTCATTATTGGTAAAAACGTAAAATAACATTTGTAATGTTTTTTATTCTTATTTTTTCATGTTTATCTTTACTTATTGTTTACAAATTGTAAAGCTTCATGGGTTTAAAAAAGGAATCAACTCAAATTACAAAAAATAACGCTTTATTGTTCCAAATAACTCAATGAAATGATGAACAAAATTTATACAATTTAAGTATTATTTTTCTAATATCTTTGGCACAATTTTGCACTGAAATATCAATAAAATAAAATTTATTTATAAATTGTGTCAAATTCATATAATTAATATGGGTGTCCAACCCTAACTGTATAAAGTGTCCAACCCTAACTAGAAGCATCATTTTCGAATTGTGCTAACCATAACTAGACATGTGTCGCGATTCGAGTTTTCACTTTTTTTCTTCTTAAATTATGTACCCCACAATACATTCAATAAGCTTATCTTGCCGAATTCTTGCTTTTTTTACACATTTTTTTAGGTTTATTCACAAGTCAAACAAAACTTTTTTTGTCTCTTCGATTGCACCGAAGTCACAGGAGACGCTACTTTTGATTTTCCAAAAATGTAATGCCACAAAAAGTTAGGTTATACTACTAGAAGATTCGTCACGTACGCACACAGGTGGCGCTAGTGTTCTTATTTAAAAAAAGCCAAGTATCCAACCCTGACAAGTGTCCAACCCTGACACTATTCCCCTATATAATTCAAGTAAAAATTATTTGGCTCAAATAAATATTTATTTCATAATAGTTAAGTAATCGAGTGTTTAAAAAAAATACTAAAATATTAAATAATATAAAAATAATAATATTAAAATAATAATAATAATAATAATAATAATAATAATAATAATAATGATAATAAATACCTATTTAATTCAAATAAAAATAATTTGGTTCGAATAAATATTTATTTTTGCCAAAGTTGTATAATTGTGTTTCCAAATTTCGGAATAAGTTTCCTTAAAATTCCAAATTCTAAAATTCAATTCACGAAGCTGAAGTACACAACGTTTAGAAACGAATTTTTTTTTTAAGTTGTATATTGATTGAAAAATTGTATACAAATACAAAAAATTTTATGATGAGAAAAAAGATGCGCCAGGAAATTTCGTGCAAGATAGTAATTTGACAAAATTTATTTTTATAAATTTATTTTTAAGGTACCAGGGGCCAATGAACACCTATTAAATATTCATTATAAAAACACAGGCCTTGGATCAACTTAAAGACACAAAAAAGTCGTTTTAGTCGATTTATATTCTGAAAAAAAGTCGATTTTTTTATTTTAACAAAAATATTTTACAGATTTTTAAATAAAAAAATTTTTTTTTAAATAATACTTTTCAAAGGGTTAAAGTTGAAATTTTTAGAAATAATTAAATTTCAAAAGATATTGTTAATTTTCAAACAATTATTAAATTTTACAGAACTAAAAATAATTTATCCAACAATTTTTGGAAAACATTCTTTAAATTTAATTGAATTTTCAAAGATTTAAAATTGAGATTTTTGAAACTAATTAAACTTCAAGTAATTTTTAATTATAATAATATTCATTTTTAGTTGATTTTTGATTGAAAATTTTGATAATTAATTTTGAATTGAAATTTTAGAAAATAATTAAATTTCATTTGATTTTAAATTTAGATAATAATTGAATAATACTTGATTTTGAATTAAAAATTTTGAAAATAATTGAATTTTCATTGATTTTGAATTGAAATTTTGGGAAATAATTGAATTTTAATTGAAATTTTCGATAATAATTAAATTTAAGTTCATTTTTAATTGAAAATTTCGATATTTAATTTTGAATAGAAATTTTAAAAAATAATTGAATTTTATTTCATTTTAAATTGAAAACTTGGTAAATAATTGAATTTTAAATAAAAAATTTGAAAATAATTTAATTTTAGTTGTTTGTTAATTGAAAATTTGAAAATAATTAATTTTAGTTGATTGCTGATTGAAAATTTTGATAATAATTAATTTTGCCTCGAAATTTTGGAAAATAATTAAATTTTAATTGAAATTTTGGATAATAATTTAATTTAAGTTGATTTTGGATTAAAATTTCGGGTAATAATTGAATTTTAATTGAAATTTTCTATTATAATTTAATTTAAGTTCATTTTTAATTGAAAATTTCAATAATTAATTTTAAATATAAATTTTAAAAAATAATTGAATTTTATTTTATTTTAAATTGAAAACTTGGTAAATAATTGAATTTTAAATTGAAAATAATTTAATTTTAGTTGATTAAAAATTTTGATAATAATTAATTTTAGTTGATTGTTGATTGAAAATTTTGAAAATAATTGAATTTTCATTGATTTTGACTCGAAAATTTGGAAAATAATTGAATTTTAATTGAAATTTTTGATAATAATTTAATTTAAGTTGATGTTGAATTAAAATTTTGGGTAATAATTGAATTTTATTTGATTTTAAATTGAAAATTTGGAAAATAATTGAATTTAAAAAGATTTTGAATTGAAATTTTGGGAAAAAATTGAATTTTCTTTGATTTTGAAATTTCATATAATAATTGAATTTTATTTAATTTTAAATTGATAATTTGGAAAATAATTCAATTTTATATATAATTTAATAACACATAATAATAATTTTTATTATTATCATTTAATATGAAATAATATTCTAATAAATTTAAATTATTATTGATAATATTAATTTTTAATTTCTTTATAACAAACAATTAAATATTCAATTTGGCGCGCTTGCGCGCGTTTAATATTGCTAGTTATATATACTAATTATAGCTAGTGACGATGGTAATTTTTGTTTTTGAATTTTTAATATTGTAGTTACGATGGTAAATAGGTTTTTCTATTAAGTATTTCATTAACCTAATCATATCTGATTAGGTAGAAATTTTATTGACAGTCAACCTATTTACCATCGTAACTACTATAATAATTATATATTTGTTTTAATTTTATAAGATAAATTTCCAATAAAATTTATTTTTCATGAATCAATAATGTTTTAATGTTTAAGTTATTTGATTAAATTCTTTAAATTAACTTATTAAATAAAAGTAGATTAAATTTTCAATTTTTAATCATTTTTTTCTGTTTTTTTTTCATTTTGTCATCTGAACTTTCCTTATCGCTGTTATCTGTCTTCTTTTGTCGTTTTTTATTATCATTTTGCTTGGGGTTTCATAGGGTTCTACACATGTTGCTAATGACGGTGTAATAGTCGTCTATTGTCAATATTTCTTCCACATTTGTCCTTTTTCTTTAAATGTATACTATATTTATAAAATTTAAAATCTATTCCATGTAACCTGTGAAGTTGCAGGAAACATGTAGCAAGCTTGCTGCATGTTTTTGTAAGCCTACACAAAACCGGGTGGTATAAAAAAAACTATAAAATTTGGAAAGTGTTTTGAAAATGTTTTTAATTTTCATTTTATAAGACTGAAATCACAAAAAAACAAACAACTTTAATAATCTTATTGAAAATTGTTCTGCACCGAAAAAAATATTCTTGAGGAAAATGCAAAGAAACATTTAATAGAAAGTTGCTTGGCTGTTTAAATGAAGTGAGACAATGTACATGTATAATTTAAAAAATTAAAATTTATTTATTTATTTGAATGTTGGTAAAACTTGAGTACACTGATGAATTAATATTTGTGAAAAAGTGATTGCTCGATCCTACTCAAGCGAGAGCAGAAATGGTTCTGACGATTATGGCAAAGTGTCATGTCGTCGTAGTCAAAGATTACATTAGGAGCTTGTGTGCAGTGGTCAAAATGTGTTGGTAACATGGTGTTTAGTACAGGAATATTTTGTAGGTTTTTTAAATTCAGGTATAATAGCAAGTAGAGGGGTTAGGTTTTTAGTTTTATTAGTGTACTCTTATCTTCGAAATAATTTCAACAGACTTATCTTAACAATGAGAGGATTAAAGTTATAAAATGCAAGATGTTCCAAAATAAGTTTTTACAAATTTGGGATTATATCTTATGGCTTAATATAAAGTTTTACAATTGTTGCAGATGCTGATGTTTTTCTTGCGATAATATTTACAACTTTATTTCTTTTTACCTTTAGAAAAACATTAAGAATAAGCTATTCTAAATTTTATTTTTACTTATTTTAACTCTCGACGGCAATTTCTCCTGCGAAAATCCTTTTGAATCAAGAATATTACTTTTAAAATAAAAAGAATTCCTTTGCGTGATATTCTAGAGGAATCCTCTGAAATCAACAACATATTTTTCGATTTGTAATAAATGCTGAAAAATATGTCATACTTGCTAAAACTTCTACTTATACTCTTATACTCTTTATGCAGAAATTGAAATTTGCAAAATTAATTGTGACGTTGTAAAATTTTTTATGAATTTTACAATTCACAAATTTAAGTTATTTAAAAAAAATTAATTAAATAAATTTTACTTAATCAATTTTTAAAAAAATAAATAATTTTGTTAAACATTTAGAGGTTGCAGCGGATACTCCAAGATTGATTTAAATTAATTAATTTAAGATTCCTTTATTAATTTTATAAATTTATTTTTATTTATGTAAACTCCGTTTCCTGATTCCTGTTCAACGAGTCATCGTGGAAAATTGTAATTTTAATCCAAGGATGATTGGGACGCCTCTTATCTGTTGGAAAATAATGATTATCCATTGAAGATTCATGAAATTATTTTAAAATTTGCCGCCTTTTTTTATTGTGTTGTCCATTGACTAATCAGAAGATCAAAACCTAGTACATATTCCTGAAAATCCATGGCCCAAGGATATTTTATATTAATTATATATTATGACGAAATTGATGTTTGTCTACTTTTCGATTTTCTACAAATTATATAACCTTGGTAGAATTCAACTAGCCTTCCGTCTTCTAAACGAGAAGCTCCTGATGCCTATGGCCCATTTGAATCGTCATACGAACAAAATGTCAAGCATTTTGTATAATTTTTGGATTCATTCCCGTTGTGTTTTATTATGACATAGTCCTGACAGAATACTATTAGAAGATAATGGAGGAGAGACTTTTTGGATTATCTATTTAATTTTGAAACATCTGGATAAAATAATAATATATTATTATTAAGGAATATTAAAAGGGCCCTAAAATACCCTTACAATACGTCCCTGTATCAACACACGAAAAATAACAGAAGACAATTGAATGCCGGTGCATGGTTACCGATTAATAACATCAAAAACAAAATACCAGATATCGTCCTCTTTTGTCGGCAACCTCCGAAGAACCAACATCTTGGAAAAAGTTTTATTTTTAAAATATTTGTTTTGTGTGTTTTCGCTGTGCCATTACAATTTGTGAAATTTCTTTTATTAAGATTGTTATCTTTTTGAAAAATTTAGCAAAAGAAAAAAATATATATATTATTAAAAATTTTCTTATTTTCTATTTTTAACTTATCTTGTAAATGATTTCCTTTTTCTGAATTTTTCTTTTCATTGATAATCATAATTCATTTTTGCATGTTTTAGTTGTGATTTCTTTCTTATTTAAAAATGTTTTCTTTATTATTTGAAAATTGTAATTTTGACCCTATTTCTCATTAATATTAGTTTGTATTTGTGACAACTATTAATTCCCCATTTATGTGTTTTGACCATTTCCCCAAAAATCTCTTGATAAAATTTTTATTGATTGACATGATTTAATTTAAAAAAAAAAAGAATTAATCAATCTTGGAAATTCCGTGACAAGTGAGCACAAGCGTCTTTCATATCGTTCGTATTGCTTGTCTTTTATTCTAATCAGCCATTTTAAAAAATCATGTTATAAATAAAAAAAAATGTTTCATTAAAGTGAAATTTATATTTTATAACTTTGTTAAATTATTTCTATTAATTCAAATTAATTTTTTTTCTGACAATTCTTGCAGCCTCCTTTCACGTATCCCCCCTCTCTACCGATTTCTTTTGAGTAGCCGAGGAAATCAAGTCGTTGTGATTTATTATTATTTTTTTGTGATCATTTGATCGGGCGCCCGCGGATAATTTTATTAATTTAATCTTTTAATTATTAACAACGCCAGTGTAACCTAAAAATTATTTCTATTTAATTAAAAATTTGCAAATAGGGTTACATAATATAAGTAAAATGTGATTAAACTTAATGATGTGTGATGATGTGTTAATGACGGTGATTTTGATTTTTTGTCTTCAACATTCCTTCCATTGAGTTTTTTGCGTACGAGTTACGAAATTCTCTCCAGTCATGTAAGTGTATCTGAAGTTATATCTGTGAAAAATTGTGCATATTATTTATTTATTTATAATTCATAGATAAGAAATTCTCTGAGTAAGAAATAATAAATGTTGCTAAATTGATTATTATTGAATCCATCTTGGAGTCTTCCACTACAGAAGATTGTCTTTCTTCATTATCAATATTTTCATCAATCATTTCATCATCTTTGTCATTATTTCTATTCTCATTTTCTACTTCATCACTTTCTTTTTTCTTATTTTCCTCATTTTCTTTTTCTCCATTCATCTCATTTTCTTCCTTGTTTTCTTTCTTCTTATTTCTTGGATTTTCACTTCTTTCTTTTTGCTTCATGTCTGTTTTCCTAATCTTTATCTCATTTTGTTGATACTCGTTTTCTTTTTTGTCATTTCTTACATCTTCTTGCTTTATCTCTTTTTCCCCAATCTTCATCCCATTTCCTGTCTGTCCGTTTTTTTCTTTTTATCTTTTGCACCGTCACTGTTTTTTTTCGTTTTTTCCTTTCTGTCCAATATTTTTCGTATTTCATTTCTCATTTTCTTGCTTTTCGTCTTCTCTCTTTCTCTTTCCTGTCGATTCGTTATCTTTCTTCTCGTTTTGTTTAGTTTTACTTATTTCTATTTTCTCAATACCCTGATCTTCACCTTCTCTCTTTTCATTTTTTGCATCTTCTTTGATTTTCTTTTCCTGTATTTTATTTTTTTGTTTTTCATTTTCTTTGTCTAAATAATTAAGTAATAAGTTAATTAACAAATTCACATAATTCTTTTCAGTTTGTTAACCTTTGTAAATTTCAAAATAAAACAAATTTTTTAAACAAATAGAAAAATTAAAAAATACTTCAAATTAAAAAATTAAATAATTAAAATTAATTAATTTTTAAGGAATTACATAATTTACTTTGAGAACTGACAACATTAATTGGAAATGTAATTTTTGTTTAAATGTGTTTTTCAATATTTTATTTGTTCTTATCCTCATGTTCTTTTTTAATTTTTCTGCTATTCGATTTTTTTTTATTTTTCCCTTTTTCTTTCTTATTTTTAATAATAATTTCTCCTTCCATAAAAACATCAATTTTTTGAAGAGAAAGCGCGAGAAATTTTGTAAGACGTGTAACCTTGTAGGGCATCTTCAGCTTGAATGTCCCAGATATGATTTTTGCTTTAAATGTGGGAGAAAGGATCACATTAAGTCTAATTGTCCCAAATAAAAAAATAATAGACCTAACAGAATTCAATGCACGCAATGTAGAATGATAGAACATACAGCTGATAGGTGTTGGGGACCATGTTCCTGCTGTAAGAAAAATGGACACAAATATGAGGAATGTTGGTCTCGTCAAAATGTAGTACAAAGAAGCAGAGAACAAAAAACGAAGAGTAAATTGCCATAAATACCACGAACCTATTTGATAGAATCCATAAAGAAACATTTATTTCTAATTTGATCTACCTGGAGATAAACTGGGAAGTACGAGCAAAGTTCAACATACCATTGAAACAACAGACAATGTACCAGTAAACAGTAAGTATCCTCGGAACCTGGAAGTTCACAAAGAAGCAAACAGAAGCATTATTAAAAAACGATTCAATTAAGATATCAAAATCTTTATATAATTCACCAGTATGAATAATTCCAAAAAAAGGAAGATTCTCAAGGCAATAAACGGTGGCGTGATAGATTATCGAAAATTGAATGAAAAAACTATCGGAGACTCGTATCCTCTTCCAAATATCATAGATATTCTAAATCAATTAGGAGGTGCAAAATACATTACAGTTCTAGATTTGGCACAAGGATTCCACCAGGTAGAAGTAGCACCCAAAGATAGACATAAAACAGCGTTTTCAACGCCCTATGGACATTATGAATTCAAAAGGATGCCCTTTGGTTTGAAAAACAGGCCTTCTACTTTTCAAAGAATGATGGATCATGTTTTATCAGGAATGCAACGCATTGAACTATTCGTTTATATGAACGACATAGTAATTTATGCTAATTCACTAAAAGAACATAAAGAGAAGTTTATTACTTCTCTTACTTATTTATTTATACTTCCTTCTATTAGGAAAAATCCTTGTCCGTCTGTATTCGACTGCTGAGTAGCGATAGACCTTAAAGAAATTTTCTCAGTCGGGACTACCTGAACGTCAATGAAATTCTTTTTACACACATCAAATTCTGACCTGAAAATGGAAGTATTTATAAGTCTTAAATTATTAAAATGAGTTTGTAGGAAGAATTATTATAGCTAATATATCTGCAATATAGTCTATTTATAATTCCGTGCTTTGTTCCAATTGTGTGAAGTTCGTTGTTTTTTTCCATTACTACTCCAATTATATTTCTAAAATCACTTTTCGCTTTGTCGACCTCTGGAATTGGAATGGTGATGTTATCTCCAATTTCAACTGGCCGATGATTTTTATCAGACGTCAATTTCATTTTTTTCGCTTGATGTTGCAGCCCTTCGGCTGCTTTTCTCCTGGCAGAAAAAATATTCTCTTGTCGAAAATTATTGGGCGATTCAACGGTTGATTGTGAAATCGGAGTTACATCTTCTTCAGAATTGTGTTCTTGTTCTGCATCTGCTATGTTCCTACCAGAAAAAAATATTAATTATTTTTATTTATTGCATATACATATATCCACACATATGCACACATACACTCAATATTTGTAATTTTTCAAAGGCTAAATAAATAAAATTTTAATTAGAAATATAAAATATATATATATATATATATATATATATATATATTTAATTTTTACATTTGTACATTTGTATACCCCCTTATATATTTAATTTAAAGAAATATTATTTTCATAGTAAAAAAAATAAATTCTTTCTTTCTTCTTTTAGGTAAAAATGACTAACAAGAACATAATAATATTAATATGGAAAACAAACAAAATGAAATTGAAAATAATCCCCTTTTTTTAGTCAATAGGACCATTTCGTTCGGCCATTGGAATATCCTGAATTAGGTGAAAAGGGGTGGCAGAAAAGGGGCAATAAAATAAATTCTTTCTTCCTCCTTTTAGGTAAAAAGGTCTAACAAGAACATAATAATATTAATATGGAAAACAAACAAAATTAAATTGAAAATAATTCCCTTTTTTTAGTCAATAGGACCATTTCGTTCGGCCATTGGAATATGCTGAATTAAGTGAAAAGGGGCCGCAGCTGCATTCAATAAGTCATCAGGGACTTGTTGAGGTTCCTCCTCTGCATTTATAATTGGGAGGTAAAGTATTTCTCCTCTATCATTTCTATTAATTCTGACAGAAAATAATTCTTCAATTGATGGTAAAATTGTCTCTATCGGGTAAAGACATCTGATATAGGGGGGTTCAATGCAATTATATAATTGAACAATTATATGAGGAGGATTTATTAATATCAAATTGAGGCTATTAAAAGCCCTAATGCACCTCCAACATTGTCCGGCTGGTCGCCTGCGAAAAACATCGAGGCGAAGGCACGCCAGACAACCCCTTTTTTGGGTCGAAGTAAGAGTAATTATATAATGCCAGTGTTCGAAAACTCCTCGAACACCAACAGGAACTCTTCCCTCGAAGAAACATTCTTTGCAACGCCATGTTTGACCTTCACGGGGAATTGATATCCAAATAATGGCATCCATGTTAATAAATGTCGAATCTACTGCTGAAATTTGATCCAAAGTTGTCTATGAAAGAAATGAAAAAAAGGAAGACATCAAAAAGATGTCAAGAAAGGAAAATGTTTTCCTTTCTTGGAGCTTAGTTCAGAGACGGAACCTCCACGAGGTCCCCGCTGGGTATTTTGTTTCCCTTCTCCCGCTCAAGATTTTCGAATCTTGCATGGGCGAAGGGAAACAATGCTATCCGTCTCTTCCCGGAAGGGCACCCGGTCTTCTTTTAACGCCGCTTTGGCTCCTAAGGACTTTACAGCGGCAGTTTTTCCATACCCGCTCCCCATGGTGCATCGGTAGTGAGAAGGCTTGCCAAATCACCGCCGTTTCACCATGCTGGTAGTGTTTTCGCGGGAAAGTAGATAAGCTTTGTTAACATCGGGAGTATAGTTCTTAAGGACCCAGGAATCCCAGTCGGCCTAGCCGACTCTAGCGCAATTCTGTCGTCACGAGTACCTGGACGGGCTACTTACGCGCATTGTAGACATCATTAATCTCAGTCCTATACCCTGACAGCCACTTTCACGCAACTGGAGTTATTACACAAACCAGATTCGTTGGATATTGACGTAACCTCATCGCTTCTCGAATAGACGACGTTCATTCACGTTTCTATGACGGACTACAGGCGACAAGAAGACTTGTCCCTTACTATAGCGAACTCCCGTTAAGCCTCGCTAAAATTATTAACAAAGTTGGAGTTATCGTAACACACCAAGGAGCTGTAAACAACATTTCCATATTTAGTGGGGACCCATCTGCTGATCCACTTCTCGCTGTTTCTGCTGGAGATATCACTAAGTTCGCAAAGCTTATTTAAGCATGCAAACGACGTGGATTTATTCAAACCGGCCGTATCACAGAGGATAAACTTGGCACAAGCTGGTGTATATTGTCAGCCCACGACGTTACTACTGATGAAGTAGCTGACGGAGTTGCTGATAGCATAATTATTCGATCGTCATTCATGGAATGGACCTTCACTGATGCTCTATATTCTGCACTAGTCCAAAACGGATCTAGCGGAATTATCGACGTCGATACTGAAGTAACCTAGCATTCCAGCTACATCTCCAACGTCATCGATGCTGGCCACTCCTTTAACTTGGGAGTATAAACATTACATATGGCGCTAAAACAATAGGGCTCGAATAACCTTGAGAATATAGACAATAGTGTGTTTGTCAACTTCATGCTAAATACCTTATAGAATTAATTTCAGAAATCCAATTTATACTAACTTTAATTACATAAATTTTATTTTCAGAAAATCTAACTGTCGTAATTTTATCGATTGAAATATCATTTAGACATTTCTATTCTGAAAATTTCATTATTAAATTATTGAAATTTCATGTATTGAATTTTAACCATCGAGAACGGTCCACATCGCAACAGTTCGATATAGCCTTACCAGTTTTTAGGGGTGATTTATCGGAGGATGCAATAGAATACCTTTAGGAATTACGGCAGTACATTATGTTTCGGCGAGTTCCGAGCGAGTATCAACCCAAGACTATTCAAAATTCGCTCAGTGGCTAGTGAATTTGGCAACCGCCACATTAATTCAAGAAAAGGAATAAGATCCAGCCATAAATCGATTAAGCCGATAGATCGTCGCATGCATCGTTATTCCGTTTTACTTGTGAAAAAGGTGGTACACTTTACGTGTACATTTTAATGTAAAATGTAAAACGCACTCATTTCGACGAATGATCTCTCAAGTATCTCTTTTTTATTTGTATATTAATT